TGCGGGATGTCGTATCGCATTAGGTGATTTCATCGGGAGGAACCCTGGCCAGCTGCTCTGTAATTTCACACTTCAAGAAGCAAAGATGTTTGGTAGAGGACGAGCACAAAACGGTGCCCATTTTCCACCCCGCTGCGTTCCTGATGGGGGAGTGGCGTGGGAAGGCGGGTTGCAATTCATTAAGCTGAAACTGACATGTATGCCTCTTTCACACTCCTGGTGTATGTGGGTTGAGTGCTGACCCAGAAATGTTCACTATGTTTGGGTCCACATCGTGTGTTTGTACACCTTACAGTTGTAATTGATACTGCAGTTTGTGGTTAACACATTAGGTCAAGTGGTCGACATTATTATTTCCTACGTCATCATTTCAAAAAACGCAACATTTTTGTCGCTTTGCATCTTAGCGAGGTTTTATGGATGACACAGTCACACAGTATCATTAAAACAAAACTAATTAAAAATTAGAATTATTACCTTCATTCACCATCATGTCACTATCAGAAAACAAACGATACTCTTCCATGTAAAAATTCCAATCTGGATTGGGTCATTTGGGTGGTGCAATTTTCGGTTCAGAAATGCTTTGCAGATGAGTGTGGGTTGAGTCCGCACTTAAAAGCCTCAAGTCCTATGTATGAAAGTGGTTTTAGATTGACATTTAAAGTGCAATAACAGTCAATTGATAAAGCGGGCCATCAGACATTTTCAAGTCTGCATGTAGGATGATTGATTTCAAGTGGTTTTAGCATCATGCAAAATGAAGTTTGGCAGATGGAATTGGATTACCAAGAAAGGAAAATCAAGAGCCATTTTCTGCTTGTCTGGTCAACATTCTTGTACAATAAAGTAGTGACTAATTTTCTCATTTAGTACCCCCCCCCCCCTCCCCAAATTATGATAGGCATTATCTAAAATAAGAAAAAAACTACCGGTAATGCTATCTTCATCTGTATACTTTCTACATGGTCCATGTATGTAGTATTTGGCTGAATATATCAGGACTGAGAACCAAAAGGGCATTAAATTTAAGTTTAAAATAGAAATTGTGTCCAAAACGCCCTTCTGGTTATCAACAGACAGTATTTAAGATTGACCGTTTTGTACATTTACAACTTCTCTTCTTTTTTGGGAGTTCTTTTTTATTCTTATTTTTAATTCTTATTTATTCATTTTTATACTAGGTTAAGAAATACTAGGTTTGTTATACATGTATCTGGCACAGGAATCGCAGTGCTGTCTCATTATTATTTTTTCTCAATATAAGAAATATTGGCAGAATAATAAGATTACTTAGTAATGTTTGTCATTTCTTGTTAAATTGTTGAGTTGTAAGGTAAGTTTGTCATACAAATATTTATATGACATTTTGTGTTGCCAGTCTGATGGCTTAGGTAATTATTGCACAATTCACAGAATTGAGTAAACCCTTAAGACTAGCAAGCTCATATACATACACCCACCTTCCTATCTGAAAGTCATTCAGATTTCTGTTATTTGCCCAGATCCATTAAACATCATTCCTGCTAACCAGAAACAAAAAACCAGCCGATTTATAATACTTCCCTGAAAATCTCGCCTGAAAATCTGACAATCTGACATTTAAGACGATGTGGGGCGTACGTACTAGGTCCCTGTGAGTATTGATTTTCCACTTTTTGAGAATCGTGTGGGTTGCTATCGCTTTTCAGATATTGCTTTTCAAGGGCTCCATGCGATACGGACGTAAATTAAACATTATTCGCCCATCAGAGGAAGTAGAGGGGGACTTTGGAGTAGCCCGTCAGTCCCACGTGTAAAGATTCCTGTCGTTTTGATGGCTATCTTTTGATATAAAGGTTCTTGAGTCACGTAGGGTTGAGGAATATTAGCCTTTATGTCCATCTTAATAAAAGTGTGCATAGAATAAATGTAAATATAATACCCTCTTCTTTTATTGTAGTAATTTGAAGAGCATGGTTTCTATACATGAAAATTAAAAGTGACGTCAAAGCATGGGCTTTCAAAAGTAATAATCCATTTAAACATTTACATTACACTGACTTTTAATGACTGTCAACTCCTTGAAGAGGCAATCAAGTTTGATAGGCAGTGTTCAATTTTACCTCAGTTTATAATCCTTTGTGGCTATTGACAAGAGTGTGCTAACAATTACCTCACTATTGTGTGAGGAAAAAAATCAATCTAAAATGGAGTTGACAACTTGCTTGAAAGCTAATTATATTTCAGTGATTGCAACAGAAATACTGAGCCGGTAGTGATGGTGATGGCTTCTCATATTTAAGATCATAGTCTTATTTTGTTAATGCAATTTTTGGATTAATCTTCGATTAAAGGAAGCAGGCTTAAAGATATAAAGTTCTGTAATGGTTTAGGAGAGTGGCATCTATGATCTACCAATGGCTATCTTTGTAAGATATGAAAGAAGTGTACCTGACTTCTACTATTTTAAAGATGCATTTAAAATAATTTTGTTATCCCTTATGTAAATATTACATAA